TTTTCTACTTCTTGGTCTTCTTTTCGATACTCCGTTATATTCCTTTCATATGACAGCAACACACACACACACACACACACACACACACACACACATATATATATATATATATATATATATATATATATATATATATATATATATCAAACTTTCCCGTTTGGATACTGCTTTTTTTATATATATATATATATATCATCGCAAATATATATATATATATATATATATATATATATATATATTCAGTTCGAATTCAGTCAGATCACCACATTCACTTACGTGCTCATACCCTTGGGAAAATATGAATCCTCTTCTCCCTGCATCTTTGGTTAATAGCAGGACAGACTGGCTTCTATAGCCTTGGATGGCAACTGCTATAGGAGAAGGACAACTCTGAATTCAAAATCTGCGCCGGGTCGTTTCGGGACGGTGCGGCACATCGTGCACCGGGTCTCTGTATTCAGCCCTTCCAAATGTTTGGTTGGTTCTGCACAAAGCCTTCACCACTATAATCAAATCATATGTGCTGTCGGTTCCTAGGAAGTGAGCTGCTTCACCCTCATACATCGAATACGACAGGAGAGTCCACCACACACACACACATATATATATATATATATATATATATATATATATATATATATATATATATATATATATAACATAACATATCAATACAACATGACAAAGACGATGTACATAAAAACAAGACATCCAAACAAATAACTGAAAGTTTTATAAGATCAGCGCTCTTTCATTTATTTGTTTGGATAAGTCTTGTTCATCGTCTTTGTCATGTTGTATTGATAATGTTATAATTTATGAATATGTCCTGAAGATGGTTTATTAGACCGAAACGTCCGACGTTGACATATTAACATTAAAACAGTATAAATTGTATATAAGGGTTTTTGTTTGTTTTTTCCGTATATATGTTTCTTCATACTGTCGGATCTATATCCATATATTTGCTTATATATATATATATATATATATTTGCTTCTTCTTTGCTATTTTCCCTTTTGTCTTCTTCCTTTTTATATAGAGGGTATTTTTTAAAAAAATATCTTTCCTGTGTTTGAGGCTCCCTTTTCTTTTTCTTTAACTTAAATTATTTATATTTTTTCTCCATTTGCATCCTTCCTCGTCTTTACTGACATTTTCCTTCAATGCAAACATTTTTTTTTATTTTTTCTTGTTCTTCTTCATGTTGTTTAATCATTTCTTTCTTTCCTTTCTTCTTTATTTCATTTTTTTTTCTTTCTTGAAATCTATTTTAGTCCAGCTCTATTTTTGTTTCCCTTCATTAAAACGAACATATCGCCTACGTCATAACATCAGCTGAATAAAACCGACGTAACAACAGTTTCTACCGACGTCGACAGCGAAGAATTAACGAAAAAAAAAAAGAAAGACGGAGCCAAAGTAAAAGCGAAACACGTCAATAAATTGAGAGAAAATCATAAAAGAATCCTCGCATCCATGCCGTTACGCTGTTATCTTGATCTTTGCGCAGAGGTCATGACCCCCTTGCTCCGAAAAATCCCAACATCGAATCCGCACAAAACACGACTGCTTTTGATCAAAGCAATTTTCGTGTTTAAATCTCCCAGTTTTATAAAAGACTCGAAATTTATTGAATAAACTGACTCCGCGTCAATATAAAAATGAAATACGAACTCTCACTGGATGACTCGCGGCAAAATCTCCCGAGAATTCACGCGTGAATTGGCGTGTGTTGCAAGGCACTGTGTGCATATCAATGTTCGTGTGTTCGCTATTAACATTTTTGAGAAATGTTCGACCGCTTGGGGAATGTTGATTATGTAAACAAAAAAAACAGAAACAAAAACAAACAAACCACCATATTTGTGCGAAAATTTATGCTCAAGGTCGAAATGGACTCATCCGGAACGCAAATAGTATTTACATTTTTTGTCGAAAGAAACATAAATGATTTCACATGTGATTGAAAGAGCCCACAGTAAAGGCTTTTTGTCGGCATTTTTTAAAGATTATATTAAGAATTTTTGCATTAGATTTGGTTTACCGGCAAATTAACTACTATGTGTTATGTAATCTTTGAGTCGTGCGTTCCTGAACAATTTTGACCCTCTTGAGTCAAAATTTACAAATAATTGGTACGTATTGTTTCACGGTAGATATAAGAATAGTTAAACAAAATTTAAACATTATACTTAGCAGGGAGAGAGTATAATTGCATTCCTTCAATTTATCGCCAGAATTCTTTCTTTGTGCCCCAGTCTAACCAAATAAGACAAGCAATAGTAAAAAGAGATGCAACGTTCAACCGGTTGCTGGGCATTTAGTCATTTTTCTCTACCACCGGTAAAGCAGTGGTCAGGGCTCAAAGAGTCAATTTATAACCTTTTCATTCACATCCGTTGTTTATAGCATTGCTCTGAAGGAAATTGTGTACACTATGAACACCATAGAGGTTCTATTATTGACCATGGCTCCGTGCAGCAGTTTTGGGGGCAAATACAACATTCTCCAGGTCCAATAATTACTATATTCCCCAAATTTCGCCCCTTGTAACTTTCTCCTCTTCCAAAATTATAAACATTATACTTAGCAGGGAGAGTATGATTCATGCCTTCACTTTATCGCCAGAATTTTTTCTTTGTGCGCAAGTGTACCCAAAGAAGACAAGCAATAGCAAAGCCCGACGCATGTGTTTACCCACCGTTCAACCGGTGGCTGGGCATTAAGTCATTTTTCTCTACCACTGTTCAACCGGTGGCTGGACATTAAGTCATTTTTCTCTACCACTGATCAACCGGTGTCTGGACATTTAGTCATCTTTTCCTACCACCGGTAAACCGGTGATCTGGGGTCAAAGGGTTAATTTATAACCTTTTCATTCCCATCCGTTTAGAGAGTAGTAAATGTTTCTGCCGTCAACATGGGAGCTGGTCGTTAAGGAAAGGTTTTTTATTGTCATTTTCTTTAAAGATTATATTCAGAATTAGTGCATTAATGATTTATTGCTAGTTTTTTTACCTGTAAATTAACCACTATGGGTTATTTAACCCTTTTAGGTCTGCATTCCTGAACAATTTTGAACTTTCTGCCTGATTCAAAATTCGCAAATAATTGGTATGTATTGTTTCACGGTAGATGTAAAAATAGTTACAAATGTTTACCCACCGTTTAACCGGCAGCTGAACATTGAGTCTTTTTTTCTCTACCTCTGTTCAACCGGTGGCTGAGTAATATGTCATTTTTCTCTGTAGAGGGATCTTGATTGAACTTTCGGCTTGTTTAGGATTTTGATAGTGCCTAAGTCTTTGCATATTCTCAGCATTGGAAGATCTCCTGTCTGCTGTTTGATCTGGGTTTGCCATAACTCTTTTGATTGCAATCAGGTCCTCTGTTGGCAGAGATTTCTTTTTGCGAGGCATGCTACTGTCGTATGTTATAGGCAACAATAAACTCCAGAACAACTGAAAATTGATCGCTGCATTTAAGTATTGCATTAAGATTTAAGCTTACTTTTAAAAGCTCAACGACAATTCTTCTTAATTTAAAGACAATTTGATGTACGTAGGTCCTTACTTTCCGTACAAACAATTATTTTTATTTCATAGGTAACTTTCGCTGGATTTCGCATTTAATTTCAATTATTGCCAAATTTATTTTCAAGTTATAAAAATTGTTAATGTACTAAAAAATTCGTCACAAAACCACGTAAAAAATCGCCAAATACAAACGTAGTAATGAAAATTTGGGAAAAAAAAATTCAGGATTGCGGGTCTGTATCCAACCAGGAATGTTTTTAATTTGCTCACGGCTTGATTCCAAAATAGTATGATATGTTGGTCTAAGGCCTCTTGGAGTAAAGTTGAAAAAGTGTGACACACTGACATTCGCATTTATTTATATAAGAAGCCAAATATTAAAATATGTAAATATATAAGTAAACATTGAGGTCAACGCCCAGTAATTTCTGTCTGGAGGAGAAAATACCTATATTCACCTTCACAGACAAACACAAATTACTAAGAATAATAAGATTCATAACTCCTTCCAAAATGCAGACACGCAAACAAATTTTTACTACTCTACCTAAAAATCGAAAATTAAAACGAATGGAAAACATATTTAAATAAATAACATAAAATAGAAATAATTAAATAAATTTCTTGAAAATATCAATATTTATTTTCATTTCTGAAGTGTCTTTGCTTGTTTCTTTTCCTCGTTGATTAAAAATTATATTAATTCTCATTCAAGCAGTCAATAAATTATGTTCTTGGAACGTCGACATTGAATCAATAGCTGCATCTACTGCAAGGAAAGTTGGGTCACTGTGCCGTGCCAAAACATCGTCTCGTCAGATTCAATCTTGCACATTTACAAATCTATCATTTGTCCGTGCATTGAATACTATTGCCTTATCTGGTCAGGTGTTCTGGCTACTAATCTCAAGGTTCTTGCCAAAATCCAATGAAGGATCTACAATGTAACAGATCATGACTTGGCATCTAGACTTCAGTCACATTCTCTTTGACGTTACGTGACATCCCTCTGTCTTTTCTATAAATATTATATAATATAATATATCATGACAACTGCTCTGACGAGCTTTTTTCACTGGTGCCCCGACTCAAGGAATTTAAACGTGATACTAGATTGGCATTTAGGTCTCACACTTTTATTGCTGAATCAGTTAAATGCCACCGACACTTCTACTTCAACGGATTCTTTTCTCACATTTCCTGCCTGTGGAACCTCTTCCGTTTCCTTGCTTCCCTGATAATTACCAAAATGTCTAAATGCAACGTCAATCGCTATCTATCTTCCCGAACCCACTTAACCTTTCGTCAGTCCCCTCTGTACCTGGGCTTTGCTTTCTCGTTCACGCTCTGTAACCCCCAGCGTACTAGCGGCATTCCTGGCTTGCTTAGGGTGAAATGCTTAAGAAAAATCTTCTTTTTCTTCATCTGTTTTTCGTTTGTATCTTCGTCGTTACTTTATAAATGTTTCATCAGTTCTTTCCAATTCCTTCGTGTATTTTTCCTTCGTCGATTCTTATTCCTTATTTCTTTTTCATGAATAATGTTTATTACGTTCTCGCACGTCTCTTTCATTATTATACATTCTTCATCGTTTTTCCATCAGTGATTTTTCATGTTTTCTTCATCAAAGATTCTATTCTGCTTGATCTTTCTTCATTAATTTCGTTCTTTTTACATTTTCATTCGTATTAATCTTTTATTCTCAATCTCTATTTCGTCGGCATTCTTTTCTTCTTCAGCTTGTTATAGTTTTTTTTCTTCTTCTTTTCTTCTTCTTCTTCTTTTTTTCTTCTACTACTACTACTACTACTACTTTTTTCTTTTTTCTTCTTCTTCTTCTTTTCTTCTTCTACTACTACTACTACTACTTTTTTCTTTTTTCTTCTTCTTTTTCTTCTTTTCTTCTTCTTCTTCTTTTCTTCTTCTTTTTTCTTCTTCTTCTACCACTACTTTTTTCTTTTTTCATCTTCTTTTCTTCTTCTTTTCTTCTTCTTCTTCGTCTTTTACTACTACTACTACTTTTTCTTTTTCTTCTTCTTTTCTTCTTCTTCTTTTCTTCTTCTTCTTTTCTTCTTCTTCTTTTCTTCTTTTCTTCTTCTTCTACCACTACTTTTTCTTTTTTCATCTTCTTTTCTTCTTCTTTTCTTCTTCTTCCTCTACTACTCCTTACTTTTTCTTTTTTCTTCTTCTTTTCTTCTTCTTTTTCTTCTTTTCTTCTTCTTTTCTTCTTCTTCGTCTTCTTCTACTACTACTACTTTTTCTTTTTTCTTCTTCTTTTCTTCTTCTTTTTCTTCTTTTCTTCTTCTTTTCTTCTTCTTCTTCTTCGTCTTCTTCTACTACTACTACTTTTTCTTTTTTCTTCTTCTTTTCTTCTTCTTCTTTTCCTCTTCTTCCTCTACTACTCCTTCTTTTTCTTTTTTCTTCTTCTTTTCTTCTTCTTTTTCTTCTTTTCTTTTTCTTCTTCTTCTCTTCTTCTTTTCTTCGTCTTCTTCTCTTCTTCTTTTCTTCTTCTTCTTCTACTACTATTACTACTTTTTTTTCTTTTTTTTTTTCTTCTTCTTCTTAGTCATTTTTAATTCTCATTCTTATTTCTCATATTTTACTAACTCTTCACATATTCCTTTCCGTCTTCTTTTTTTTCTTCTTTTTCTGTTTCTTTTTCTACTTCGTTTTTTCTTCTTCTTTTTCTCATAATTATAATCATTTTTATTATTTATCATCATATTCTACGAATTATTTTCATCTTCTTTATCTTCTACTTTTTCTTCTTTCTTCTTCTTTTACTTCTTTTTCGTCTTTTCTTCTTCTACCAATTTTTTTATTCTTTTTCTCCTTCTTTTTTTCTTCTTGTTATTTACATCTCATTATTTTTCATAATATTTTACTAATTCTTCTACTTCTTCATCATTTTATTCTTTTCTTTTTCTTCTTTTTCTTATTCTGTTTCATTGTTTTATTTTCCACCGTCTTGATTTCATTATCTACCTTAGCTTACATTATTCTCTTTTTTTCTTTATACGCCCCCCTCTTAATTTTCTACTTCATTTTCAAAGAAATTTATTATTATTACTAGCAGTAGAGCCCGGCGTTGCCCGGAGATGTAACAGTAAGAGATAGATCAACTATCGACCATCATAAAGACTGAAAAATAAAATTGACAAAGATTATTGTTTAAGGTTGACGGACACGCATGTCTTAATTAGTTTTTTTTTTTTTTTGTTTTTTATTTATTTTTTTTATTTTTTACGAATTGGTCAAACCCAAACTCAAGCAAAAACATTGTTTTCAATCGTTATGAGTCTATCGATTGAATAGAATTTTATTATAAACAATTGTCTTGTAAATGGAATTTTTAAAGCATTCCGAATGTAAAAATAAAGAAAAAAGTGTGCAAGACAATAAGAAACACAACCTGCCAAAAATAAGAGAAGTTTTGTTGAAATCGGTTGAAAAATGTAGGAAATCCGATCCCATATATAAACGAACACACACACACATACAAACAACATGGGTTTTATAAGTATAACTCGATATGAGTTGTCCTCCTTTCATTCTCGCGACAGCGATGCCTCTTAATCGTGTTTTCCAATTGATTTCGTTCAAAAACAATTATGTTTTTCCAATTTTGGCGCTGTCAGAACCACCGCAAGGTAATTTTACGTAGTCCTGTGAAGTTTTGTTGAAATCGGTTGAAAAATGTAGGAAATCCGATCCAATATACAAACGAACAGACAACGACACACACACACACACACACACACACACACACACACACACACACACACACACACACACACACACACACAACCTGGGTTTTATAATAAGTATTATTATTATTATTATTATTATTATTACGTTACTTGTTCTTCTTTTCTGTTTCCTCTTTATTTTACCTTTTCGTAAGCTTTCTTCTCGCACATCGCCATTATTTATTTACTCTTTTTCCTTTACTTCTTTTTTTCCCCTTTTTTATATACATTTTTACTGTTCCTTTCATTGCTTCTTCCTTTTTCTTTTCCCCGTTTTGCATTAATTCTTTAACCTTCCTTCTTTCTTGTTCCTTTTTCTATCGCTTCTACATTCTCACTTCTTCAGCATTTCCTATTTTTCCCTTTTATACTCTTCTTCTTCTTCTTCTCCTTCTTCTTCTTCTTCTTCTTCTTCTTCTTCTTCTTCTTCTTTAAGCCCTTCGCTCTTGATGTCTTTATTGTTTTATTCATTTATTCCTTCTTGCTTTACCTTTTCTTTCTTATTTTCCAACCTTCTTCTCTCGACCCTAATCCCACATAATCTTAACCCTATTCTTCCGCCCGTTCCTCTAATAAAAAAAAACAAGATCCACCATTTTACCCAGTAATCGTGCTGTTATTAAGCTCTCTCTGAATACACCCGAGTACATATTGCAATGATTTGGAAAATATTTTTTCGCTGCTTCTACATTAGAAACGTCGAGATTATGAAATTGCGGTGAAGTTCACAAAATGCCCACAGAAGTACAGTCACAGCAAAATGTTTATTTTGAGACAGCAAGACCTCGAATATAGTATTCTAAGAATTTTCGACTTTAAAAAAAATAAACATTCTCTAACATTTCTGCTAGGAAAGTTGGTTCACTGTATCGTGCGAGACAATTTTTCCCCTTCGTAATCTGTCTGCCATATCTCCATGTATTGAATATTGCATCAGATCTGCTATGCTGCTTCTGCTAAGTATCTAAATATTCTAGATAATATACAAAGAGGAATCTGCAATCTTATTTGTCCTGACCTAGCATATCTGTTTCAGTCATTTCCCTCTGTCTTTCCTGTAGATATATTCATGATAATTATTCTAATGAACTTTCATATTTGATACCTAGACTTTTATGAATGTAAACTCAGTACGAGATTGGCGGCGAGATGTCATCATTTTATCCTTGAAATTGTTAGATGTAACCTTAAGTGTTGTGATTACAGTGCGAAAGAGAGGTTGTAAAAGTGAAGATGGCGCCTCCCGCCTCATGACAGGACGTTAGTTTGTGTATAAATGATGGAAATAATAAAATACTGAATGAAAAACATAAAAAAACGCTGCCAAATAAAGGGATAATTGTTTTCTGCAATATCTTATTTAATATCCCACAAAAGCTTGATAAACTTTAAAAATAGCCACCAAGAGATTTTTTTTCTGCAAAGTGGCAATGATCATGTACACATGTACACACACACACACACACACACACACACACACACACACATATATATATATATATATATATATATATATATATATAAAAAAATCCCAAATTACCTCTTATGGGAATAGCCTGTTTCGGCAGACGAAGATATCGGTCATCTGTCTTATCAACAACGGTGTGGACTGAGTTCGTGTCAGAAATCTAAATTTACCTGTGAAAGCTAAAAACAACAAAGACAACAAAAAAAAAAAAAAGCAGTCGAAACACTAATACCGAATTTATCCATTTCGATGTTTCAGTCAGACGAAAGGCACGGGAAAGGATCAGGGGAGGGTGTTATTTATTTTTTTTTTTAATGTTTTTGTTTTGAGAAATGAAACATTTTATAAAACAAACATGCAACAAACTATTTCTTATTTAACAGTTAAAAACTGTAATCCTTGAAAATGGCTAAATGTATAGCCGAAAGCGCTCCAATAAACAGAACATTCGAACAGTTTTTATATAATTTATCATATGAAAAGAAAAAAATATTAGATCGCTTGAGAAATTGTATAAAAAAACTAAATAAAAGCACCTTGTCTGTCGTATTCAATGAAATGTGCATGAAAGAAGGATTGCTGCGTAAATACACAAATATATATATATATATATATATATATATATATATATATATATATATATATATATATATGTGTGTGTGTGTGTGCATTTTATATATATATATATATATATATATATATATATATATATTATTATTCTAAATGTTACTTTTAGTGAATGCAGAGGTTTGAGTTGAGGCCCTGTTGTTTTTAAAGAGTGTGAATTACATTTACCGGCCTATATACTCGAGTGACTATATACAAGAAATGTGCTCTGTCACATATTCCTTTATAAAGTCACTCGAATGCACAGGCCGGTAGGCGTAATTCATAATCTTTAGAAAATCATATCAAACATATGTATCCAAAGCAAATAAAATACAGTAATAAAAAACAATGTCCGAATACAAATCCATTAGAGTCTGTCTATATTTCTGAGATGAGTTATTATGTACATTATTTACATTATTCGGACTATTGTCCTCATCTTTGTCGCTATATTTATCACAAGGTTTCTGCCGTTGTACGCTCCGGCTTTCTTCAGGTGGTTGGAATGTCGAACTGAACCCTTTATTTCGCTCGCCGGGGTAGACTGTTCTAGTTCCACGTGCCATGTTTGATGGATGTCAGTTATCAGTTATCTCCTGTTAATTCCCTTCTGCAAGTTCTCCACTGCCTTCACCGGGTATTGAACTCATACTCTTTGGGTCCTGTCACTGGATCTAACCAACGCCTTTATCCACTGTGCCATGTGTCCTCAAGAAGGCCGGAGCGTACAACGGCCGAAATGTTGTGATAAATATGGCGACAAAGATGAGGACAATAATCCGAATAATGTAAATAATGTACAAATCCATTAATTTCTAAAAGTTATAATGAAAATATCCATGGACAGACTGTTTCGCTCTATCACAGATCATCAGTGTGATGAAACGTCTGGTTGTTTCTAGCTAGGATCGAAACCCTGCTAAATTGCCGTCAGTCGGAGATTCTACACCTAAGCCGTTGGCGCATGGCAGGGATAAAAGTGAATTTAAGCGTATTTATTTTTTCGGTAAACACACAGTGACTCTCCGACAGAGGCGACCGTCGTTAAATCCGACGGTCTTTTACTGACTGGACAAAAAAAAACAAACCTTTATTGACCACGCAAGGCTGAATAGTTTCTTTAAACGAAATCCTTCACGATCATCACGATTTCGTATCTGCTAAGGTTCATATTTTAACGTAAACAAAGCAATTTCTAAACAAGTAATTAATTTTTTATTTATCTATCATCATCCTTCAACCTCCGTATAGCTGGTCGGAACTACATTGATAATTTCCATATGGTACGGTCTAGTATTGCTGTCCCCAGATCCTCAATGACCAATCCTGAGTCTAGAGATATGGTGTCTGGGAAAGACAATTTTCTTGAGAAGACACTTCCAGAAGGATAGTATAGGAGTTGGTATGAGAAAATTCCCTGGTCCACTCGCTGCCATTAGCCAGCAAACTGAAGTCGTTTTATATATATATATATATATATATATATATATATATATATATATATATATATATATATATATATATATATAAAATATATGGATATAGATCCGACAGTATGAAGAAAAATATATACGGAAAAAACAAACAAAAATGTTTCAGTTATTTGTTTAGATAAGTCTTGTTCTTATGTACATCGTCTTTGTCATGTTGTATTGATAATGTTATAATTTATGAATATGTCCTGAAGATGGTTTATTAGACCGAAACGTCCAACGTTGACATATTAACATTAAAACAGTATAAATTGTATATAAGGATTTTTGTTTGTTTTTTTCGGTATATATTTTTCTTATATATATATATATATATATATATATATATATATTTTATATGCAATGTCCAGTATATCCACCAATACACGGAACACTAATGATGGTCTGTTTTTGTTGCATAAAATATTTCAAAGCGACGACTATATAGTGCATACGAGACGCGGAAGCGAAAATCGCGTCGCATCTCGTGACGTCACACATGACAACGCGAGAGTGAAAACGAGAAGTATATATATATATATATATACTAGCAGTAGAGCCCGGCGTTGCCCGAGGATGCAACAGTAAGAGATAAATCAAGTATCGACCATCATAAAGACTGAAAAATAAAATTGACAAAGATTATTGTTTAAGGTTGACGGACACGCATGTCTTAATTAGTTTTTTTTTGTTTTGTTTTTTACGAATTGGTCAAACCCAAGCTCAAACAAAAACATTGTTTTCAATCGTTATGAGTCTATCGATTCAATAGAATTTTATTATAAACAATTGTCTTGTAAATGGAATTTTTAAAGCATTCTGAATGTAAAAATAAAGAAAAAAAAAGTGTGCAAGACAATAAGAAACACTACCTGCCAAAAAAAGTGAAGTTTTGTTGAAATCGGTTGAAAAATGTAAAATCCGATCCCATATATAAACGAACACAAACACACACACACACACACACACACACACACACACATAACACACACACACACACAAATAACACACACACAAACAACCTGGGTTTTATAATAAGTATAACTCGATATGAGTTGTCCCCTTTTCATTCTGGGGACAGCGATGCCTCTTAATCGTGTTTTCAAATTGATTTTGTCCAAAAACAATTGTTTTTCCAATTTTTGGCGCTGTCAAAACCAAAAAAGGACGAGACGATTTATTTATCAATCTGACTGATATTGTATCACTTCAAACGTCATTTTAGTGGGTACTGCTATATGAGTAGATGCTCGATTTATTTATTAAGCAGTAGATTTATTTCCGCCAACCAGCCTGAATATTCGAGAAATCTTATTAAACAAAAATATACGCTCCACAGGAGGGGAAACCGTTGTTATATCCGACGTTCGTCCACGAAGATATTTTGCCGATCATACGAA